CGACTCCTTGGACAGAGTGTACTGTCAGTGTTACAAAAGACTGGAAATAACTATGTTACTGTTTGATAACCGATTGATACCGTTTGTCCCTGTACAAGTTTAAACCGAAAGAAACACGAATGGATTACTCGAACCATTATAAAGACTCCATTCGTGGTACGAACAGGGGACCCCCCAGAGTTTGGCGTGTGCCGCCACTTAACCCCGTCACCCCGCCAACTACCGAACGGTCGACCACCCGGCCAGCGGAGTGTGGCAGCCATTAACCACCCAGGCGGCTGCGGTTTGCGGTTAACCACAACTTAATTGATAGGCCTGGGGGCATCGACGTTTGCATCGAAAATACCGAACGGGATCTACCGAACTAACAACCGAACGATGACCCCCTACAGCGGGCCGCGTGGCGATCATTAATTTGTGGTTTCTGCGGTTAACCGCAGGTCAAGTACCCTTCTACCAGGTGGTCCTTGTTCATGTACCGAACGAGTCCCACTACCAGACAGACAGCGGGACTTCGCATGAACTGATACCCGAGTTTAGTTCCACGAGTTAGAAGCGAGGTCCCGCTGCCCGCTAAACCCTCAGAAAACATGGCCACCAACAGAGACTCACAATCCAAAATGCCGAACGGACTTTATACGGCAGCAACCGTCCGTTCTGTTCGTGGGATTGGAGTGCCATTCGCCTGTTTAATGCATACGAACGCGAGCCTTCAGATGAGTGGTAGAATGAGTGGTTTCCCTGTATTAATGTAAAAGTTATAGATTTTTATGCAGTTTTTTGGGACATAATAAAACATGGTCTTTTGTGCGCTTGGAGATAATTAGATTGTAAAACCGTTGGCCTCATTATCTCCAAGCTGGGCGCTTACTAATTCAAATAATACACTGCATTGTGATTGGATATTTGTCTGTACTGTACCTGTATCCCATCAGGTTCACAGGGGGCTGTCCTTGGACCTGAGGAATCACATAAATTGCCATGCTATGTGCCAGTAAAGCCAGTTCGTTTTGACCCTCAACTTGCAGCCTCGACTCATGTTGTAGGGATCCGGGACATTGATGCTTATATCGTGCTTGGGGATATTCTACATTTGCAGCTTACTACCGAAAGACCTCCATTCGACTCTCTGCAGCGGGAACCAGGACATACAAGCGATCAACCCTCCTGCTAGACCGGGGGCAATCGTAACAGTCAGGTCCCTACTTACCGGCTTCCCTAACTCATGCTCTACAGAGATGCAATATAGTATGTCATGCAAAGTGTTTGTGGTTTTGTTTTCAAGATTTTTGTCTTAGAATAAATGTTTGTATAGAACTCTTTTCTTATGTGATAAACAAAAAACAAAATAAAAAGATTTAAAAATAAAAAAATAAAAATCTTAACATAGTCAGGGACAAAATTAATAAAGAAATTTCTTTGGGGAGAGTTCATGGTCCTTTTTGCTATTTCAGGTTGTCTCCACTTGGTTTGGTACCCAAAAAAGGGAAAGGAACATCAAGGCGTATCACTTGTCTTACGCAGATGGTGCATCTTTGAATGATGAGGTTGATGCATCCATAATATCAGTGTCATATACTTCTTTTGAGGATGCTTTAAAATGGATGAGACAATGTGTCCAGGCTGTGCTAATGGCTAAAGTAGATATTGAGGCAGCATTTAGGATTTTACCTATTCTTCCTGATTATTTTGGATTCTTAGGACTCCAATTTGAAGGAAAATTTTATTTTGACAAATGTATGCCTATGGGCTGTTCTGCTTCTTTTTATTTTGAGAATTTTGCATGTTTTCTACAGTGGGTTCTTAGACAAGTTTCTGGATTGCAAACAACTATTCACTACCTAGACAATTTCCTTTTTATGGGAAAAGCAGGATCCTCTGATGTTTTAATTTAAGTGCTTTATGCTTATTGCTCAACAATTTGGCATTCC